CCGAAGGGTGTTTGCCACCGTTGGGTCGAAGGCACCCCCTTAAAATGACTCGGGTGAACCTTAGGACTTTCAAGTTTGGTTCCGGCCCCCAACAAGTCAATTCTGACAATTTACTCAGTCCCCAATTCAGCCCTTTCCGCGAAGGGAGAATTTGACCGTATCTCCGCCCCCTATATTATGGAAAGGTGCCCCGCGACAGCTGAATGTCTCCGCCCGAGAGCGCAATGCCGTCCTGCACGGCCTGGCTTCACCACGCACCCTAGCGCGCTGCGAATCATCTTCAAGTCAATCGACCACTCACTCCGCCACCAGGCTCATCCCAACTTTATCCGTTGGTCCATCTGCAACGGCAAACCCCGCTCGTGTCTTCTTCGCAAAGATTCCTGGGCGTCTTCCTCATCGCAGCTTCTCTGGTTGCAGCAATCATCCTCACCCTCAGCAGTGCGCCACGCGGCTACCGTGCCATCCCCGCCATTGGCTTTGTTCTCGGTGTCTCAACGTTGGTGGCAGCGTGGAAGGGCATGTGCGTGGTGCTTCACGGCATGCACCACCGACACGTCAGGCCCTGGGAACTCTTCATCGACAACGAGGGCGAGTGCGACCTCTCCAAGACGAGCTTTGAGTCGTTTGGCTCAGGCAACAGCTACGAGACGGAGCCCTGGGTTGTCAAGTACGAGAAGCGCAACACTGTGCGCAAGGTGTTTGACCGCGAAGTGTGGATCCAGGAGCCAGCGCTGCGCCAGATCCAGGACACGATCTTTGTGCAAGCCATGTTGTGCGCGCTGCTGGCGGCCGGTGTCTTGACGGCCATCTTTGTTGCTGTTCCCGGGGGGAAACTGATGTAAACAAAGTTTGTTGGAAAAACGTCGCTTCTGTACTGTATTCCTACCCAGATTCTATTTTCTTTTTTTCTTTCTACAGGATACCACTTGAGCTTGGAGGATCGGAGTTTTGCGTGTGAAGGATTGATGGCCAATTTCCTGACTATCTGGTCTATGTCACTGGAAGCTACAATCTGGACCACCTTTCGCTGTCAATGAAACATGTACAATACATATTGTTGCCATGGACGCTCCCGCTCGTGTGACGTGAAGGCAGCCGTCAGTCATGGCCGAGGGGTTCGGGAGGGGCTGCCACCGAAAAGTTCATCGAGTGAGCCGATCAGTCATTTGACGATGTACCGGTCGGAGCGGAACAAGTGCCGACGTTGTCTTCCCTTCGAGCCAGTCAGTCAGTCGTGTGGAGCTGATCCGTCAAGGTGCAGATGCTCACGGATGGTTTCTCCATGATAGTGCAGGCCTGATCTACCTCGGTACGGGCGAAGGGCTGGCGGGCATGGGGGGAGACCACGGCGGCTGGGAGACCACGACAGCAGCAGCTGGGGAACACGGCCACCAGGAAAACAGGGACCTCTCTGGGGCGGCGAGCAAACGTTGACGTTGGGCGAATCGGTACCTGACGTCAAGGTACCTGAGAGCCGCAGCTCAGCCGAGAGAAGTGCCCCGCGTTCCC